TTTCACGTCGAGCCTATAGGCAAACAGGCCCACGCGTTTAGTCGAACTTTTCGTTTAGAGAATTAGGCATGTTATGTAGACCCTTCAGAATCCTAACTGTTAACTAATAGTGTCGAATTCGCTATCTACCGTAAGCTGATTTTTACAGTTATGATTCTCACACTCACCAGTATGGCCTTCACAGCCCAATCAAGATGTTTGATTCATTAATAAGTATGTAGTAATAAGAGTTTATGTAAAAGAAGTCTATTACGAACTAAGGACAAGCCAGTGCACCTTTTCTATTGAGTCGTCTGTAAATTTTTTCAACTACGCTTGAGCTATTGCCTTCTGAACGCTGCCAGTGGGAGCAGGACTATAATAAGAGAACAAGATAAAATGGTAATGTATCGTTTCGGTGATATGCGGATGTTTTCAACTAAATAGAGAACTATATCTATGAATTTGCAGCCCTGGATCAGAAACAAAAACAGGTAGAAGCATTGAAAAATACAAGATTTAGAAACTACACCTTGTAGTCGCAGATGTCTCTTTTACCAACAATAACTAGAAGGCACTGCTTCTTTGCTTTGCTGCGATCAGAGTTTGTGTTATTACTTCATCCACTGACGCATTAACTGCGCGCCGTGTCACATGTATGTTAATCGTGCTTCGTATCATCGTCTCTATCTAGAGCTAGCTCATATCGGCCTGACTACAAGGATTTCAGCCATTTCTTTTTGCGTTCCGTGTGTCCTTCACATCATCACTGTTAAATTGAACATTGCTAGAAAATCGTGTCATCGTTGTGGGCGTCCATTTCGTCGTTATGATTGGCTTTGTCTAAAGTAGTAGGTAGGACGCTGGTACTAGACGTTTCGGCGGTTTTAAGCCTATCGATTTCTTTCAAACAACAGAAACACCCACTCTCTTCCTCTTTGTTCACTTTACAATCGTCTACCGGCGCGTCCATCATCCGCCACAGCGAATGTCAAACGAGGAAGATAATAATACACGATAATACACGAGAAATAAAACACGAGTCAAGCGGGGACACGAACCTCAGCAGTTTCGCTCGCCAACCGATGGGGCACTGCACAACGCTGGTTCAAGTACCGCAAATCGCCTCTGAATTAATAACGTTGAAATAACAGCTTCAAAAATCAACGCACCTGAACCGAATTAAGATTGCATTGGACTTCCCGAACTATAAACCCTGAACGTCGTAGAATGAAAAGAAGTTATCGTTGACGGCTGCGGAGTGAGGGTAAGGTGAAGTCGAAGAAAGTCAGAGAGGAAAAAGACACGACTGAAAAGAGGAACACTCGAGATTCGGTTTGTTTCTTTTTTTTTTGCCACCGGCGGACCACTGCTGGCGCAGTCGTCCACAAGTTGCGCCAATCTTGTTGCATCTCGGTTTACGGATACAGTAAAGCCAGATCTGGCCGTCGTTAATGGCGGCTGTTTAACTCCTATTCTGTTCTTCAACATATATAATCGAAGTTGGCGTTTTTAGCGAGCGCCTGAAAGCAAACCTCTCGACGATACAGGAGCGAACTGGTAGTTCGTTAATGGGTGTACGACAGACGCTTTTAGATAGACGATCCAATATACCGCTTACTCTTCTTGACGCACAGCTTAGGTTGGTTCAGGAAAAATCGCGGCTGTATCGACAATGGAAGTACGACCCGCAACCTAAACGGCATTATCAAAGTGTACGCTACCTATCGACCTCTAGAATTCGCAAGTAACTAGCTATAGTACCAAATCAAACAAGATATTCCACTTTTATGTATCTGATAGCTCTGATGCACTATTATATACGGGGCAATTTTCGATCTAGACACGTATGCAAACTATACTGGACACTTAGTTTCAGTAATGGATCAAAAACAGCATAGTCTGTTCCTAGTTAATTAGCTTATTATAACGGCACGATCCCTGAAACGGTCAGTTTTTTTCTCAACAGCTCTTTGAACGCGTCTATTACGACAATTTGATGTATCTAATATTTACTTGACGTCTTTGAGGCTATCACGCCGCCATTGTACGATATCGTCAATGGTACCTTCTCATCAGCCAGAAATGCGAAACATCGGTTCTGTCTGGGAAGCGAGTCGTCCATCATGGATCTAGCATGTTTGTGGACAACTGTGGGTGAACCGTGTGGATGGAATCTGAACTTAATACAACGTAGAAATCACCTTTACATCGACTTTTAGTATAGCAAAAGGCACCGAACTGTCATGCTGCAATGCGGCACGCTTCAGCAGCTTACGGCTTAAATATAAATAGTCAAGTATTAAATACAATGAATTATTGTATGGACAGTTTAATTTCGGCTTGACCTAAAACGCGGACGGTGCAACGTTGGCGCCGTCGCCCGAATTTAGTAATTTGAAGAGAGTTATAACGAGAAGATAGCGACGAACTAAACAGAGTTAAAAGCAATCTATTTACTGCAGTCACAGTTCTCTGCGCCGCGTTCAGAGTTGGTTCCTTTCGTCAGTCGAATTCCTCTGAAGACTTAAACAAATGTTATTGGACTTTTCTTCTTTTTTATCAAATCTTAGACGGCGGGTCGAGCCATGCACTGTTGTCAACGAAGGCACTCATTGCTAATGTCACTTATTGGCGATTTATTGTAAAGGCCGAAACAAGCGAATAGCAAAGGTCTGCCAAGCTCCGATCTGATATCGCAGCAACAAAAGAGGGTAGGAGGGATGCAAAGGGATGAAAGAGGACGATCATCTTTGGGTGGATCTTCTTTCCTTCTACCTCAAGTGGCTCAAGTGGCAGGCTTTGAGTTTCGCTGGAGGACCTACAGCAATATGATTCAGTTTCCTTCACGGATTTTCTCGTTATTGTTGCTGCTGCTGCTGCTGTTGTTGTCACGCAATTAGGCCATTTTGATGTCTGAGCTTGGACAGGAAAATCAGGTATGGGTCCTGCGGCATAAAAAGATGAATGGAGTAGCGAACCGCAGTTTTTGACTACATTATTATTATGTGTCGATATGTGGCGGCTTAGTAATAGGTAGTCACCGTCGCGGCTTATTTTCATCGACGCGCCGTTTGTGTCCCTGACCAGGCTGGCTGCTTAAGCGATAAACAACGTAAACTTTATACAATGACGTAGCATCATTACGAGAACAACATATCGTACAGGTCACAGAATTGTCTGCTGTGCTTTTTCCGTATTGCACAATGGTATAGCACGCATAAATTGATTTGGATTTGTTCACACTCATACCGTACACAACGTTCGAACGAATGGTAAATATAGGAAAAAAAACCCCAACGAAATGCAAGAGTTATGCTATGCGTATTTACTCGACGTTTTTTTTTTATTAGGGCGTCGTTATCCGTTCGTCTGTAAACAATAACCGTAATGACAACGTCTTTTTGGCTTTGGTGATACATTTCCATAAGGTGGGGCCGGCTAGGCAATATTTCGCTCTAGACATAAACTGTTGGGGAAGCTGATAATAATAATAATGATCAAAAACACTGTAGTCGCCGCCACCGCCGCCGTTGGCCGTCACGTAGTCGGTCACTCTGTTTGTTGAAATTCGTGTTTAAGCGCCCTCTGCTAACCACCGTTCTTTGAATAATGGAGAGCGTTACATAAATCTGTCAGCAAGCTACAGCTTGCGAGATTCTATAAAAAGCCATACCCTAAACCTGATTCGTTTTCTCTTATATCTATTTTAATATGGGCAAATTAAGGAGACTTGCGTACGCTGTTATCGTATACCAGCAGCGCTAACGCGTATGTTCAGCCGATTGTGTTAACATCAATATAATATGGAGTACTATGGTATATATTAGATTGACGAACTATATTGGTTTCTGGCAGCAATAGTTACCGAACAGTGGTAGAGCTACAATGCCAGTAGAAGTATCTGCTATAATCATATCGTTAACTTGGTTTCATATGGGCAGACCAACACACATGTCATCGAGAAATAAACACAGGGCGAAAAAGCGGCTGGTAACTATTAGTTGTTCCAAGGAAGGAGATTAATTCGTGGCGGGTTTTTGGTCTCGGCCCTCCAGAGCCTTAGTGTGGCGGTAGGGCGACAAAAACCGTTCGAATAGTGCCCGTTGCTATTGCCACTGGTGCCTGCGATGAAATCTCGGCGAGGCCAAGAAGTCAAAGTCGTTATTGTATTGTTTGCTAAATAAATTTTGCGCTATGGTATCGTTGAAAAAGCAACAGAGAAAGCACTAGTAGAAATTGGACGGCTGGCTGGCTGACTGACTAGCAGGCCGGCGAGTGAGTGGGGGGCCTGAGCAAGCAAATGACACAGGCAGAAATGGCCTACAGCGAAACGATAACTTCTTATCCACCATCACCACAATAAATGCGGCGATTTTAATACCATTACATTTATGGATCGATCAGAGTTCTCTCTTCGTTCTTTTTTTGTTCTTTTTTTCCGTCTTGCCAACTGCTGGTGGTGCCGGCCGCGGGACAGGCTATGGAATTCAATGACTGCCAATTTCACCCGCTCTAGCGTCTCACATAATAGTGCCCTAGGCCCAACCAATAAGTAAAGCATTCTGCTTTTCCTTCTGGGCTGACGGAAAGCGTATAAATGAATCAGTTATTTATGTGCTTCAGCAGCAGTAACGGCAACAACGGGAACAAATGAATCAAGGGCACAATCATTAAGCGAGTACTAGGTACAATCTCACTAAGCACATAGAAGCTCACATTGAAGAGCTGAAATTTCAACGTGTTAGAACAATACGTCATATTGTACGCCTATTATATAGTATTCATTCACGTCCCGTCGATGCGACTTCAGTAATATCGACTAATATCAATTATTGAACAACATTTGCGGTTCCCTCGTATTGTACTGTATAATTTATTGTTACCGGAAGTAACCTATTAGCTCACTTGAATTGAAAGGCTTTCCGAGTTTGTTTATGGCAGCGAAGTTTTGTTTTAAAGGTGTTGCCGGATTTGTTCCAAGTGAGTGTTCGAGCACCCACCAGGTACACAGTACCGACCTGCTCAAGATGGCGAAGTCGAGGACCTCTGATGTTCTGATTCTTGCAGCCGATATCACACAGATTTAACGGGGAACTATTTATCGTTAGTACACCTTTGAGGTTAGTTTCCAGTTGCAATTGTGCACTGATAGAGTATTTCACCACTTCTGAAGTAACTCATACAAGTTTATGGTTCGATTAAATTTCTAGACAGTGGTTTTAAAGCCGTATCTGTGTCTGTTCTGGCAATCCACACACACTGCACGCACAACCTTCTCACACTCGTTAAGTTCCCACTAATAGAACATTTTCACTGTTTCTCCAGCTTATTTCCATTTCATGCCTCACATGTGTTCTTCTGTTCCCTGATTACCTTTTAACCTAAAATGTAATGAACTCCTGCACGAGGTAGGCTAATTAATGCGGACTTCAATCGCACTAACTTCGGGCCAGTTTCGACGACGCAGAAAAAAGCAATACACTTTTAGACATTCAAGTATTATATTTGACGACTAATTCAACGCTTGCGGCGGCGGCGGCGGCGGCGGCGGCGGCGACGACGACGACGACGACGACGACGACGGTGATCAATAATAATAGAAACAACACCACTAAGTCGACCTGCAGTGATGTCATTTTCGCGCTTCCATTCATACTTAGCCTTTGGCGCCTATGTGTGCATTGCGTCTGCGGCTTGTCCTGTCAAAATTTCAGGCACACCCTCACACTATTTTCAGGTTCGCATACCTGCTGACATATGGCTTCGCGCACCTTTTTTCAATGTGAGCGTCGCTTTATGTCGTCAAATGCTGATGTGTTGTACTACTCTCCGTGTAATCGTGGTGCCAGTCATGGCGGTAATCGCAGTTCTGTACACTGCGTATCTTCGTTGACTTTCCTTCGGATCGACGTACGTCGCCCGGCAGTGTTCCGTTTGCTGCGTTACTGTTAGCTGCGTTACGGCGTATCGGATGCGCAAGTAAAGCGAGCAAGAGCAGAAAAACATACGAGCAAAGAGGCAGGCAAGAAGCCGGCCGACCGACCGACCGACCGATCGACCAACGAACGGACGGACGGACGGACGGACGGACGCACGGACGGACGGACGAACGGCGCGCCGCTGTCGGTGGAGGGCTGAGGGCTGGTGCCGCGGCCGCACTGGCGGCTGCGGTGCTGGAACGGTAGCCGAGGGTAGCAAGGCACCAGATGGAAGAGGGAGAGAGGAACACGCTTTCGTAGACACATATACACACACACATCAACATTGAAATATACACAGACAATCCGCTTCGCACAGAAAGCTACACACATACAGAGACACGCGCACGCAAAAGAAATACACCAAGGATTCTACTAGTGCAACTATCTACGCTACTTAGTATACTACGTAGTAATATTTCGAGGGTTACCACGACGCGTCCAAAATAGTTGCGCGCCCACAGACGGGGCGACATACCGAGGGTATTCAGGCAGACGCAGACACACGCACAGAGTATGAAGTTGCCAATGCTGTGCTGCCTGTTAGGAGTCTGCTAGTGCTTACTGCTGCAGTTTGTATACTCCTAGAACACAGACTAGAGCAGTGTTACTATTGCTTCTACGACTATTTGTACCTTGCAGAAATATGGATCCCACGTCCCGGCCCCAGGCCTGCCTAGTGTCTCCGATTGCTGCTGCTGCTGCTGCTGCTCGCTGTCCGTCAAGCAGAGGAGGGTAGACTAGGTGATAACAGTAAGGCACAGGACACGAAGCGCTGGTGGAAGGGTCCCCGTTAGAGCTGTACGCTGCTACTCCCATTGGGGCGATTGGAGCAGTTGCTGGGCAGTCGGATACTGCAGCATTCGATCGACAGTAACCCGACTGGGCTGAGTATATGTGCCGTCCGACACATACAGTCAACTACGGAAGGCTGTTCCCTTTTGTGGCCGGCCTGCTAGTAATCGGTTGGCTGCCGCTCATCAAAGGCAATGATCTGTAAATATAAGAACAACCCCTCAACGACAGACAAATACGTAATAATACAGAAATCCGTAACGATAATGATAATGTATCTCAACTGAAGTTCGAGCGAAAGGGAAATTTCACGTAGTGAATTATCCAAGTACAATAGGAGCAGATACCACCATGAACTCTCGTGAGGCTGTAACTAGATGTCTCTTCGCTTGATAACTAAATGTACAAGTATGACAGCTAACAAAAACTGTGTTGAAACTACTAGAAATCGTATGCATAGTTCTTCAACTATAACAGAATAAACACGTTAAAATCAAGTGACTACGTATGCTACAATTTGTTCGGTTTTGCGAGGTATCCGTCATACGCCAATAGTTTCACTATTCGTATTGCTATAGTCTAAATGATTTGGCCATTTGTGGTTTGCTGAGCTGTATTGCTGGAAGCCTTAGTTGCAACAAATCAATCATAAGTTATATAATAACTCAACAACTGGTTCATATAGATTATCATTATTCTTTTCGTTCTTGACCTTGTTCCCTACTTTCAGGCCTGCTACTACCACCCACCACCTATCCTGTCAATCTCCATTGTCCTTTCTCCGCCCTCTGCCTGTCTGCCGCTATCAGCGCAGTGACGGCTGCAGTTACAATAGGGTCCTCCGTTTGCCCTCCTCCGAGCAGCGCTACTCAACGCAAGCAGAGCTATAATGCTTTCCCCCAGATTTGTCCACACTCAGTCAGCCTACCTTTTACCACAGACTAGTGATCCGCTAACAACTTGCTTGCTACGATGACATTGAAGTTGTCGGTTGAACGATTCGGAGAAGAAAGAGGAGGAGGACGCCGACGACCACAATGCCCCCGTTGTTGTTGTTGTTGTTGGCGGCAGCGGCGGCGGCCGGCCAGCCAGCCAGCCGGCCGGCCGGCCGGCCGGCCGACCGACCGACCGACTGGCCTGCCGGGGCTAGCCCCCGCCCTTCTCCTCGGCGGAGAGAGGCGGGGCCTGTTGTCCCGCCGCGCGGCTTCTCGGTTTGCTCGCGCTGCTGCTACACATCACGTTCGTCACCATCACCCCACTCGCATTGCCGCTGCCGCTTTCGCGGACGACAACGACGACAACTGAGCGGCCATTGTCAATCTGCTGTTCTAACCCTGGCTTGTCTAATAGTCGGCGTCTATCGGTCGAACGTCTATAGGTCAGCTTCCTAGTTCCCGCCCGCCTGGCCCGTCAATTCTCTTCACCGCACGAACACTTTGAACTATCGTCAGGTTCAATAGTAGTAATAATAATGTTCACTTGTGGTATAGGACAGCGGTCGTGTGCGTCTTTCTACACACACAAGCGAGCTTTGCTAGCGATCGTTGTCCAAGTAGCACCACTGCGATTACCGTGGCAGTATCGGCCACAATCATAGATGCAAACATCTGAAGTCATGTCCTTCGAAGTGGGCGGCTTATATAGTGTCGTACCGTTGCAATCGACATATTAACAAGATGCAACCATAGCGGTTGCACTGGCACCACTTCTAAGCGAAGTCAAATTTTCGTTGATGGATAGTCCAACAGATGGACGGAGCAATGACGATTTACGCAACCCAATAACAATGAATCGTTGTCAAACACGAATAAAAATCGAACGCCATTGTTTCGTCGGAAGCAACCAGGAGTCTATATAGAAAAGGACTTAGCAGGAAGAAAGAGTCGGAAGCATGAGATAGACCTGGATAAAATAGGGCCAAGAAGAATGCTAGAAGATCGATTCGGTGCGATGTTGAGCTAATCAGCAACGGCTATATGATACGTATGGACGTCAGAATGAATGGAAGCGTTATAATTACGCCAAGAACAATTGCACAACAAAATAATGAAATGTAACAAACGAAAAAGATTAAATCCAGAGATGATGATAGAGAGGTACGTATAGAAGCTAGACTAGGTGGCCTTTCATGATTATTTTGACCAGTTGACGCTAGGTAATGAATACGTGGTGTCGTTGCCGCGTCGTCAGCTACCGGCAGACAAAAAGTCAGACAGATAGCTAGCCAAAGAAAATTATGGGACCCGGCCAGCGTTGGCCTGCGCTTGCCGCACAAGTGAGCCGGTTAACGCGCACGATCCAGAACAGTTATCAGATATCATCTAGTAACCTGACGGTCGTCAGAAATTGGCGGTTGCGATGACGTTGGTGACGGCGAGCGCAGCCGCGCGACAATAGAATAGACATGCAGGGAGGAAATTTCGGAGCTGGTTAAAGGCGGACCGCTAGACGAGCGTAAACTGCCGAATTGTCCGTTAGCTGAAGAGAAAGTGAGGGTGACGCGGGGTCTCGAATGCGCATTAACACAAGCTACTTGATAAAAAATCATCCGAACCGCTCTGTTTACGAGCGGGTGCTTAGCACTATTGTGTGCAGTGATATCGTATTATATCATAATACAATAGTATGATTTTATAATAGACAAGCTGCGAGCGTACAAAGGGGCAAAGCTGCCCCTCTTGGCCTCTTCCTAAAGAGAGCACTGGACCATAGCAGGACGAGCAGTATAAGCAGGCAATAAAATATGGCTAAACAGACAAATCGATAGATATCGCCAAATCACGAATGGACAATGCGACGGCGACAGCAGCAACAATCAGACCGGAGGAAGGAGGAGAAACCGTCAACGCAAAAACTGTCGCTGCCATTGTTGCCCCGCTGCTGCTGCTGCTGGTGCGCCTGTTTTTCGTGGCAATCGTCAGGCCGCCGCAGAGGGGCGGAGAAAGGAGGTAGCAAGATACAGAGAGCAATGATTTGTCGTACGTCAACAATAGAGGCGTAATCGCACTTGCACTAACTGCACCGCGGATTAAGAACGAGGGGCGGATCTCTCTCGTTGATCATGCGGAGGATGTGAAATGAAGTCGACGCGTTTAATTACCGCAGCGCACCACCCATATTACTATGATATAGTAGAACAGGTGTCAGGAGGATAGGCACAATTTGTTTTATCCCCTTGACTAATGAAGATGTAAACATTAATCGTGCTATCTGAGAAACGTTAGCAGCAAGCACATACGCTCAAGATAACAGTAGCCTTAGTTATGTAGAGTTTATTGCGTATATCCTAATCATTGTTTCAATGCGATGAAGCCATCACTACTTCGAGAAGGGAAGCAGCGGAGGTGCCTTGAACGCTCTACCTCACATACCGAAGTTCTGTCATAAACAAGCGATGCTATGACGCTTTCACAAAATAGAAAAATCGAATTAACCGTACGACCATAAATTTATCGAACGCCTTGTTATTTATCTAGACTATTTATGGTCTTGCTACCAGCTATTTAAAGTGAACAGATGCTGTCACTTCCATGCGAACTAAATAGGATATATCTATATATAGAATATACTAGAACTGACCTCGTTTTATGTTGTGACCGTCCGAGACGTGCAGTGGTAACAAAAGCTCTATTAGTTAGCAGGGCTTTAGAATTTCAAAAATGTCCGCTTTGTTCTCGTATGAAAAAATCTCATTCAGAGAATGAAGGCAGTAGCACATTCATCTCCTAACAATGCTTAGGCGTTTGCCCACGAAAAACTTTAATCGTAATGCTAAAATCATTACATAAATAGATAATAACCTGATTTACATCCATAACTGTTACTATTTGTACTAATTACTATCATACGGCCTTAATGACGGTGTTTATTACACAGTGACTACACAGGGGCGTCTGCTGCCGCTGCTGGAAGGTGCCGATCCCTCAGCCTTATGGCGCGGGAGCCTCCTTTAACTTGATAATCTCACAAAATCTCCTTAAGGAACCCTCAAGGAGCTCAAAAGTTTGCTGCTCGAAGCAAGGAACGCTGTTTGCCGCCCGATGAAACTGCTGTTTCACGAAAGCTCCGCCGTCCTCGTTGTCGGGAGTGAGGCTCCACTGCAGTGTATACAGCGGCCGTACCGCAAAGTTTTAACAGAGAATGGTTGGCCGACGGAATGGTGTACCCGGGAAAGATACAGAGCAAACAGGCAAAGAAGGTTTAAGAACTAAATAATATAATGTGCAGCTTGTTGGTG